TGTTTTATTCAACCACCAAATGACACTGAAGCAAAAGGAAAATAATGTAAAAAAGAAGAAGAAGAGGGTAGAAATTCTCTTTTCGTGAGTTGAATAGTGAGATGATCCTTTAATCACATATTTTATCATATAGGACTCTGAATTTTCTGTGATTTTGATGCATCACCTTGTTAGCTTTTGTGAGCTTTTGAACTTCCATAAAAGAGTACACTTCAAAGAGTAATCTGTCACCACTGATGCATAAGAGATACTGCTCAGACAGGTGTAATATATGGAAAGCTAAGCGGATCCAGACTGTTTAGAGCTTTTACATCAAAAACGTTGCATTACTGTGTATAATTCTGAACCACGTAAAGCCAATTTATCATAGAGATTGCTAGTCTATTTTTTTTGTGTTATTTCAATTATTTACTTTTTGCTTGGCTTTCACGTTGAGTCAAAACTTGTTTGCGTAAGACTTGTATTATGTGGAAATGACTATGTGAATTTTGGTCTACAATGGATTTAAGGATTAGGGAAGGTGGTGGGCTAAGCGATACTCTAACATGTGGCACAGTCCCCCAAGGACATGACACTGTCAGCACATTGCTTACACTCATCTGCACACATACACACACATATATACACAGAGAGGTATAATAGGGTATAATTTAGGGGGCTGTAATAGTGAGATGTGATGCTCGGTGGTAAGACAGCATGCCTAATTCCTCGGTTATGTTATCTCTGAGAGACAGATGTTCCCACCAAAGATTACTATGCACACACACACAAACTGCGAACGTGCAGAGATGCACAAACCCATTCAATCCTCAGACAATAGCAGCAGTGGGAAGAGTCTAAAATAGCCATATTGACCAAAAACACAGATCAATGATGAAGATGACTTTTCTGAGAGTTATTTACGAGAGTTTCTCCAGAAAACTAATGAGGAAAAAAACCCCTCAAAGTTTTCCCTCAACAAATCTTACATTTAAGAGTCAAATAAATCATAACGGACATAACCTTGCGCCTCACTGAATATTTTAATGATCACACAAGTCCCACAAAGCTGTGGGGTTTGTGTGTCAATTCATCAGCAGGGTTTTCCAGGCCGTGCACACAGTTCATCTATTAGGAAAGTGTTCTATAGGCGAAATGGTTTCACAGCAGAGGATAAAGGTCAATGTATTCATGGCTGTCAGGAAAACCCTTTGGTTAGATAACATCACTTGCATTACGTTGTTAATTCACAATTTGGATGCACAGCCACAGCGTTAAGAACATGATGGGGATGAAGGACCCACAGTTCCTGTCAATCCTAAAGTCAGTCGAGACGATTTTGTCCGATCGTCTTTGTCCTGCTTATCTGATTTTCTGTCGCCTCCTAGGCTCTTGCTTAGCATCCCAGAATATCCATGAGCCTCTCCAGCATCCCGAGTGCCCAAGACTCAAAAAGAGCAAAAAAACAGCAGCTTTGAAAGGGTGAACAAATTGCTTGTATACCCTAAACCAAATATGAGTGCTTAAGCGTGACTTCAAGGGGACAGTTTACATAAATGAACATGTGAATGTGCGTATAAACAGTCAAACTACCTCTCAAACTCTTTTCTCCTCTGAGCTTTGATCCCCCTCCTCCTGCTTCCGTTTAACTGGTTTCAGCATTAAGTCTCCAGATTCTGATAATTTCCCCCTTAATCCCTTCAGAGGAGCACCCTGCTTAACTCTCTAATTAAGTCAACGACACATTCACCAGCACAGGATAAACAGCACAGGCAAACAGCTAGGAGTATCTAGCGATCTGATGCACGGACAACTGGTGGTTCCTGGATTGGGGAGTTTGTGTGTGTGTGTGAGAGAGAGAGAATGAGTGTTTGTGTGACTGTATTTCAATGATTAAGTCCCAATCAGGAGGTTGTTATGACAACACATGCATTTTTAAGCTGTTAATCCAGGATTATTCTCCCCTCCGCTCATCTCATTACCGTCGATTATTAAATAAAATAAAAAAAAGAAAGAAAGAAAAAACCCACATACAAATGCACACAGACACACACCCTAATTATGGACTGGTTTCTCTGGAGATTGGAGACCTTTGCACTGTGTGTTCAAAGACATTTTTGCACACAGGTAAAAACAACTTACTGCATCTCAGACATTACCTATATACACAAGGAAGCGATCACACTTCATAGATAAAAAGGCATGGCCATATATTAATAGAAGTATGATTATTACTGTATTTTTGGCACACTCAGAGACCAATTCTGGCCTTTCAGAGAGGAATTTCCAGCCAGAGCTGGAAAGAAAGCAAACAGTGAGTGTCCTTTACCGGTGATTGAATGTGTGTCCTTGTGTAGTATCTGCACACCCCTCTCTCAGCGAGAGAAAGTATTCCTGCGGTGCTGAAGCTGATGCACAGGTGAGAGAATGGCCAAGGATTTTGAGATCACCTAAGGCTTTGTGCCGACTATGGCCCACTCACACTAGGTCAGCTCAGAATAACCAGAAAGGGCTGACCGCCAGTGCTCACTCGCCCCTGGAGTCATTAATCACACCACACCACAAATGAGCCGCATGGACGGACACACACACACGCACAGAAAAAAAACCCCCACACACACACAGTGGAGCTTGTTTTAATTATAAAAGGCAAATGCTAGATGACAGCATCGCTCCAGGTAGTCATTCCTCAAGGCCTGCACTGGTACATTACCATGTACCAAACATCACAGACATTGAATATTTCTGAGCAAAGCCCAGTCCACAAATAACAACACATCAGATCACATTAAGCTACGATAATCTGCTGCATATACAAATACACACACAGCATTATATCTGTAACTTTTCTCCTGAGCTGTATTTTATGCTCCTTAAACACTAACGCGCACTATCAACTCACACTATCTGAACCCCCGCATTCCCAAACAGACCTCTCAGCTTGCAGTCGGGTCACTATCGGGATCGGGATCTCAGATAACGTTCCCATTTACCGGTTATGAAATTCTTCAAAGGGGCCGTGCAGCAGCGAAAGCCTGTGGTGTGTCATGTTTGTTAACAGGCATGGTGCATGGAGAAATACTCCGTGGAGGTTGTGCGTTGGTGAATGTCTGTCGCATGGAGCAGTCCCTCCTGCTAAAGGCATCTAGGGAGAAAAACTCGACACGCACCAAAAATATATCAAAGCGCAAAAGTCACAGCTCATACACCTACATAGAGACACGCATTCTCTATGCTAAAAAAATCAAATCAAACAGATGCTTAAAACTGAGGCAGCTAAGAGACGCCGACTGACTGCCTGCATGTTTGAAAGGCAACAAAAGGATAATACGATGTTGCAGTGTGGAAAAACTCTACCCAAATTTTTCATACATTAGCTTTCAAACATGTCATCATCTAGTTAACTGCCATGTTGTGAATGTTTCACACTTTGGGTTTTTCTGCTGTTGATAAAACTGTTCGAGCGACATAATTATCTTGCCACACACATGCACGCACGCACACAGTCACCCACTCAGATTTCAAAGCACTCTCTTCACCTTGCTGCACTCGGCTCTAAAGAAAGTGAAAAGCTTCTGTCCGTTATTGAGGTACGACAAAACATAACCCTGCCTGAGCATTTAAAAGCTAGTTTCTCCTTTCTGAAAGGGCTCAAGTCACTTTCAACAGTCAAGCTCAGAGAATCGCTTTCTGCATCAGGTAGTCAAATTCTCTTTTATGTCTTGTTGAATTAAATGAGCTCTAAAGCAGGAGAATGAAATGAAATGCACATAAACTTAACATAACAGAGCTGCATGTAAAGTTGGCATTTCGAGTAACTCTTACATGAGATGGCTCACTCTGCACTCTCAGAGGGGAACGCTCCTGCTGTCGCACTGAGGAAGAGCTGAAGTAATTAACATGCTCCCTTTGTGTTGTTGTTTGTATGTGTCGTGTATGTTTGCTTGTAGAAACCGAGCGTGGGTGCGCATAAGAGGTAAAAAAGCCTTCAAAGGTGCTCAGCTTCTGCTGCTGCTGAGATGTAAAGCTTTAAAACTCATTTCTTAATAAACTTCTGTCAAGGAGATTAAGGGAAGCATTACTCAAGTACGGACTTATTTCAGTGAAAGCATTAAACAACTGGCTGAAAGAGATTGAGGAGACTGCTGCTTTTAATGCCGCTCTTTTGTGCATATCAGTGGATTTCAGATTTAATCGTTGATAAGCAGGTGGAAGAGGAAAACCATTTAAAAAAAGGCACCTTTGAGATCTCATGAACTACAGAGAGACATGATGGGAGAAAAGTGAAATCACAAAATACAAGCAGGGAGGCGCGGTCAGTGTTCCATGGGTGCTTCTGCATCCTCCTCTTCATCATCATCACTACAGGGTTCAAAATCTTCATCCAAGGCTGGATCTGCATCCTCTCCCTCCACCTCTCCTCCCAGCTCGCCCAGAAGCTGCTCCACGTGCTCCAACATCGGCTGGTCGTCACATCGAAGCTTGTTGTACAGCTGGCAGAGTGAAAAAGACAAAAAACAAAGAATGATGCAAGCGTATAATAGAGTCGTGGGTACACTGGAAAACATGAAAATGTTGACTAGAACGTAGGTTATAAAGCAGAGATCCAAACAGAAAGTGCAAAATTATACTGTAGAGGCAACTGAAGTAATGATATGGTGAGTGAAAGGCTCTCAGCAGAAGCTTGGTCACTACCACATTCATAAGCAGGAGATTCGAGTTGAGGGAAGTAAGCAGCCCTCAGGTTTTAAGTCTCTAAGTGCCGGTTAGGACATTTGAAATATCCAAAATCATCTGCATTCTGTCAGCACAGCAGCCCACAAAACGCTGGTAAACAGTTTTTGTCTTTATTTTGGCAAATCAGCACATTTGATGCACAATCCAGCCGAGGAGGCAGAAAGACCATTTATCTTCCTCTTTCAACATGCATGCACACACAGACACGGAGAAATGTATCCTGAATCGAAGCGCATATGGTTGTGTTATAATCAGAGTTACCCCAGTGAAACACGCTGTGAGAAAGCAAGATAGAAAACTCCCGTTCTCTAAGCAGCTAGTAGATTTATCTCTGGTAAAATACTCTGCTTGTGTGTAATTGCTGAACTTAAAATGGAGCTGGGTGATAAAACTACTCGGGCTACCAATAAGGACAGCGAGCACAAGACTACGCTTCTGTGTGCAAATACATTACATAAACACGGGGGAGAGGATGCAGCGATTCATATTTTTGCTGCTCTTTCCAGAAACAAAACTAGAGAGGGGGGAAAAGGCAGTTGGTGGATTTATATAATCTAAGAATATAACTCTATTTCGTCTACTAAATGCAGTTAAAACCAAGCACACAGTGTTTTATGCTCACGGACAATCAGCAGCTGAGTGCCATCATTCTTACTAAAAGTGTAACAAGGCCAGGAGAGTGAAGAAGAGTGTGTGTGACTGCTTTGCCCCAGGACCAGTCTCTAAGCAACAGCAGGTCCTGACAGGAGACATGCAGTCCCATGGGAACTCATTTGGAGCGTTAGAATGTGCAGAGAGTGTGTGTGTGTGTGTGTGTGTGTGTGTGTGTGTGTGTACTTAAGTGGATGCTGTCTCTGCAGGTTGGAGCTCCAAGGAGGTGGAGTGTGACCTAGGTCCAGGCACAGGGTCTGATGCAGAGGGGATTTGACCCTCTCAGACTCTTTAGAGCACCACACACACACACACACACACACACACACACACAC